TAAAGAATGCAAAATTGATTGCATTTAACTGAATCACTATAGTGCTAAGGGTAAGAGCATGAGCTCTGGAGCCAGACTATCTAGGTTTCAATACCAGCCCACCACTTGCTCTATGATTTTGGGCAAATTGCTCAACCTCTGTGCCTCAGATTCCTCAACTGGAAAATAAAGATAATAATAGTACCTACCCTCATAGGGGTTATTACGAGCATTAAATTAGTGCATGTAAAGCACTTAGAACAATGCCTGGAATATAGCGTTAGCTGCTGCTAGTGTTATCATCACCTGATACCCTTACTAGACTAACAGTTCTCATGTGTGGCTCAAATACAGCCTAGTTTCCTAGCCAGATCATGCAATTTTAATGTTTCTGAATCAATGATTCAATACACAAAACTCAAAAAGCAGCTCTACAAAATACAGCCTGAAGTCTTCCTTCTGAATCATTTATTTATCAAAGTTCTCACAAATATTAATCAACAGCAAATGTTTACTTAACTCCAAGAAATCTATATGAATTATCACCATGATATGGAACGTCTAAAAAATCTTTTATAGGTGAAATAAATGTTTTTCATGTTACTTTTAATTACAAATTAATCTCTGATCTTACAAATCAGATTAATAAGTCTAGATCCATATGTAGTAATAAAACACACTGAATCTTCATTAAGATATTTATTAATCTGCAAATTTGCCTTTGTAAAGATTTTAACAAGAAAAAAAGAATAAGTGCTCAACATCTTTATTCATCTGAAAAATGCAAATCAAACCCATCCTAAGATATTACTTTATAAGCACTAGAATGGCTAAAATTCAAAGAGACTAACAACCCAAGTGGTGGCGAAGATATGGAGCTACTGGATCTCATACACTGCTACTGGAGAACCATTTGGCAATTTCTTATGAAGTTAAACATACATCTACCCTGTGACCCAACAATTCCACTCGTAGGTATTCAACCAAGAGATATAAAACAAATGTTCACAAAAAGACTTGGACAAGAATGTTTATAGCAGTCTTATTCACAACAGGCAAAAACTGGAAATAACTCAAATGTCTATCAAAAGGAGAATGGAAAAACAAAGTGTGGTATATTCATAAAATGGAAATCTGTGCCACCTAGGAAGTTATCCGTTGTTTGCAATAATGATTTAAATTTACTATTCAATGAGGATGTCTTATTTTTATTTTCTTCAAATTATGTCTCATTTTAAAATATATTTTAAACAATCCCTCGCTGAAGATAATTTTTGTTCTGAAAATAATCTTATTTTTTGTTTAGTAACTCACTTGAGTTTTCTTGCTACAATACAAACTTTTGAGGAATTTTTTAATTGGTGCTTTTAAAGAGGCAAATAAATCCCAGGGTTTTATTAAGTGATAGTCCCACGGAAACCGTTAAATTATTTGCACTTTCATATTTCTTTCTTATGCATTCTTGGTGCATGTTCATCCTGAGTAAAGCATTCGCTCTAGAAATTACCCACGTATAAAAAGAAGACTGGCTTGGGGCCAGCCCCAGTTGCCTAGTGGTTAAGTTCAGCGCACTCCACTTTGGCAGCCCGGGCTTCGGTTCCCAGGCACAGACCTACACCGCTCTGTTAGCAGCCATGCTGTGCTGGTGGCCCACATACTAAAAAACAGAGGAAGATTGTTATGGATGTTAGCTCAGGGTGAATCTTCCTCAGCAAAAAGAAAAGAAAAAGAAAAAGACGACTGGCTTAAAATGGCTACTGTGATGGAAACAATGTCTTAGGGAGATACAACTTGGACTTGAGGTAAACTGAATATTTAACACTGTGGTCTAGAGACTGCTTCAACGGCATTGTATTTAAAAGGGCATACTACAGCTGTAATTTTCTATTGATTATTCCCTAAATAAACAAGTAAATATAGGGCCGGCCCTGGTGGCCTAGTGGTTAAGTTTGGCACCCTCCACTTCGGAGACCCAGGTTCAGTTCCTGGTACCCAGTGGACCTACACCACTTGTCTGTCAGTGGCCACGCTACGGTGGTGGCTCACATACAAAAAGAGGAAGATTGGTAGTGGGTGTTAGCACAGGGCAAATCTTCCTCAGCAAAAAAAAAAAAAAATTGGGTAAAGAAGATGTGGTATATATATACAATGGACTACTACTCAGCCATAAAAAAGACAAAATCGTCCCATTTGCAACAACATGGATGGACCTGGAGGGTATTATGTTAAGCGAAATAAGCCAGAGAGAAAAAGACAAACACAGCATGATTTCACTCATATGTGGAAGATAAACTAACACACGGACAGAGAGAACAGTTTGGTGGTTACCAGGGGGAAAGGGGTTGGGGGTGGGCACAAGGGGTGAAGGGACGCATTTATATGGTGACTGACAAACAATAATGTACAACTAAAAGTTCACAATGTTATAAATTACTATGACATCAATAAAAAAAAGAAAAGTAAATGTACAAAACAAAATGAATTTCAGAAACACGTTAAGCAAAAGAAGCTAGATAAAAAGAGTACATATGGTATTATTCTATTAATATGAAATTTAAGAACACACAATCAGAAAGTAGTTGTGAAGAGGGAAGGAAAAACTAAATTGAAACGCGCATGAAACAATTTTTTGGTAATCATTTATGTAAATTATATAACAGCTTTGAATATTATCCATCCCTAGATTCCACATAAAAATTAGAGGTCACTCAAAAAAAAAAAAAGTCAAAGAACAGAAACATAACTTCACTTAAAGGAAATAATGATCATATTTAAAATGTTCCACTAACGATCAAATAAATAAAAATTTCAGAAACCAGTTACTATTTTCTCCCTATCAAATTAGCAAATATTTTTAAATGATAACTCTGCTGGCAAAGTTATATATCTCAATCTCATATATTGCTAATGGGAATGTAAACTGGTACAACCTTTCTAGAAAGTAACTGTACAATGTTTTGCTCTCGAGTGTCCTAAGAAATGTATACCTAGATTTCATAATTCTACTTCAGGAATCTATCCTAGGAACACAGAAATGTGGACAAAGATTTTCGTTTAACAATATTCACTGAAGTTTGGTTTGTAATCAGAAAGTAATAAACAATCTAAATGTGAACACTATGGAAATTGGTTGCACAAATAATGATATATCCATTAATGGAATATTCTTCAGTTGTTTTAAATTCTTTTCAAATAATTCTAATGATATTAAAATGCATGTTAAAAAAAAAGCAGCTCCAGGGCCGGCCCCGTGGCTTAGCGGTTAAGTGCGCGCGCTCCGCTGCTGGCGGCCCGGGGTTCGGATCCCGGGCGCGCACCAACGCACCACTTGTCCGGCCGTGCTGAGGTCGCGTCCCACATACAGCAACTAGAAGGAAGTGCAGCTATGACATACAACTATCTACTGGGGCTTTGGGGGAAAAAATAAATAAAATTAAAAAAAAAAAAAAAGCAGCTCCAAAATTATGTATAAATATATAGTAAAAATATGCAAGAGGAAAAAACAGAGACAATAAATGTTGATGTCATTTAAAAAAAATAATTAGGGGCCAATATCACAGAAACTATGATTACATTTCACAAGTGTCTGGGCTTCACTGTAAGAACACATAGGATACCCCTCACTAACTAGGTCTACTGGAGGGGGGAAAAAAAAGACCAAAAGAATAAGAACATTCATTAAAGGAACACACCATTAATACTATTTCAGATACAAATAGCCAGCTTATCAAATGAAGACAAAGTCCTTCAGGGTATGCCAAGAAATCTGTAACAAGAAAAAGTTACAGAATTCAGTACAATGCAAATATATACCAATCGTGTTTAATTTGAGCTAGGGAAAATAATTAGATGATTTAGTGATTTTCCACAGGACTGAACTCAGCTCTTTTACAAAGCAACAAAAGAAGAAGGGAAAGGCACAGCAAGAAGTCAAGCCAGCAACCTGATTTCCCAGGAAATTGGTTCTTACTTGGCAAAGTACTGGCCTCATATTCTAAGCAAGCAGAACTCTACAGAGATGAGACACATAAAATCCAAATACTCTGTAAATGATGTATACTTTTCCCTTTGCTCTTAAGATCTCCAAAAGAGAATAATTAATGCTTATTAAAACATAGGAAAAAAGTTAAAAGCCCAATTTAAGAGTTAAATGTTCTATAAACAAAGAAAAAGTTTTTTTCAAAATGCTAAATCTCACAAGGTCTAAAATAACTATCATATTTTTATTATTCTTTAAATGAAAAAGAAAATACCGTGTTATTTCTAACCTTCAACTAGGATTACATGGAAAAGAAAACTTTGATATTAATGATAAGTCTGGATTTTAAATTTACCAAGGTTAAAAATCCTTATAATTTTTCTCTATAATGTTTTAAATCATCCCTATAGAACATTTCCTTGACTTTCCAACTTAAAAAATAAAGTCTTAGTATTTGATCTCCTTCAGAAAAAGGCTATGTGTAATAACCCAAAACAAGAGTCTTCTTAAGATAAAAAGGTTAGGAGGTGAGTTTGAGTTTTAGGAAAGGAGGGAGTGAGGGAGAGAGAGGAAAAGAAGAAGGGGCATAATACAAGCTTTTCTTCAAGCCACGTGTTTAAAAATCTGACCCTGATTTCCATTAAATGGTCCAGCATTGAAGTTTCTGTAGAATTATGGACACAAGGTTGCCCAGTAGGCAGAAAAATGTCTGCTGAACTTCATTTAATGTTCAAGTATAAAGTAATTTAAGGATGAAATTATACAATTGTATACAGTCATGCTTAACAATGGGGATACATTCTGAGAAATGCATTGTTAGGCGATTTTGTTGTTGTGCCAACATCATAGAGTGTACTTCCACAAACCTAGATGGTATAGCCTACTACACACCTAGGCTATATGGTACTACTGTTACGGGACCACTGTCGTATACGCGTTCTGTTGCTGACAGAAACGTTATTATGCGGCACATGACTGTATTTAAATCAGTGGGTTCATATATAACCCGTTCTTGTAACTCTAAACTGCTTCCCTCCGCACCATGACCCCAATTGCCACCAAAAGGTCAACAAAGTGCTACTTTGAAAAATTAGTAACAAAGCAGAAAATTTTAAACTTTTCTAACAAGCCAATAAACAAAAAATAATGGTCTCAACAAATGGTGCTGGGACAACTGGATATCCATATGCAAAAGAGTTAAGATGGACCCCCTTCTCTACACGATACATAAAAATTAACCCAAAATGGATCATAAACCTAAATGTAAGAGCTAAAACTACAAAACTCTTAGAAGAAAACATAGGCATAAATATTCATGACCTTGGATTAGGCAATAGTTTCTTAGATATTATACCAAAAGCACAAGCAAAAAACAAGCTGGACTTCATCAAAATGAAAAACTTTTTGTGCTTCAAAGGACACCATTAAGAGAATGAAAACACAACCCACATATCGGGAAAAAATATTTGCAAATCATACCTCTGATACGGGACTTGTATCCAGAATATATAAAGATTTTTCTTATAACTCATAACTCAATAATAAAAGATAAATAATCTCATTTTTTAAATGGACAAGGGATCCGAATAGACATTTCTCCAAAGAAGATATACAAATGGCCGATAAACCCATGAAAAAATTCTCAACATCATCAGCCATCAGGGAAACGCGAAATAAAACAACAATGAGTATTCACTTCATATCCACTGGAATGGCTATAATCAAAAAACAGAGATAATAACAAGTGTTGGTGAGGATGTGGAGCAATTGGAATGTTCATTCCCACTGCTGGTGGGAATATAAAATGTTGTAGCTACTCTGGAAAACTGAGTTACCATATCACCCAGCAATTCCACTACTAGGTAAATACCCAAGAGAAATGAAAACACATGTCCATACAAAAACTTGTACACAAATGTCCATAGCAGCTTTATTTGAATTGCCCAAAACTGGAAACAATCTGATGTCTATCAACAGGAGAATAGATTTTAAAAATTGTGATATATCCATATATTAGAATACTACTCAGCAACAAAAAGGAATAAATTACTGATACACAAAATAACATGGGTAAATCTCAAATTAATTAGGCAGAATAAAAGAAGCCAGACCTCCATCTCAAAAAAGGAGTATACACCATACAATTCTCTTTCCATAAAATTCTAGAAAATGCAAACTAATCTATAATGACAACAGATTAGTGGTTACTTCTGGGGGTGGAAAGGGAGAGTGAGATTACAAAGGGGCAGAAGGAAACTTTTAGAGTGGTGAGTATATTCCTTATCTTGATTGTGATGTATACACAGGTAAAAACTCATCAAACGGTATACTTTAAATACATGCAATTTCACTGTATGTGAATTATACCTGAATAAAGCTATCCCCAAAAAAGAAAAAGAATGCACATGCCATGTTGGGGGAATAGAAGTATACTAGTGTTTCTGAAGTGGTATATTTGGGTAAGAAAAGGGTAGAAAGAGTAGGCTGAGAATTTTTAAGTATGATGAATCTTTTTAAAAGTCAAAATATTAACTGATCCCTACATGGTAATAGCTGAATTTCCAGCATCCACTGATGGAACAAATAGTCAAAACAATCAAAGTTACTATGAATTTAGTCTAGCCTTTAAAATAGAGATTTTTAAGATTCATCTCAACATTTATTTGAAGAATATGGATACTGTTCAAATATATTTGTATATATGGACAAAAATAATAAGTTCTAAATATATATGCATATACTTGCTAAATATATATGCATATGCAACTTACAATATATGCATATATTTAGAACTTATTATTTTTGTCTACAAATAATATTTGATGAGCAAACGGATTTTAAGAACCCTTTACTAACTACAGAAAACATCCCTCCCCAATCCAAAGAGTTGCAGGTAACAGTTTGAGAACTGCTGATAAAGATATTCAATGCCACGGATATTCAGTACTTAAATATTAGCTTAAATGAAACAGAAGTCATATCTAATGAAAAATTTATGTAAAAGGTTCCATAGCTACACCCTATAATCCTAAAAAATTTAAGAATTAGTTATAACACTGCTAAGCTGGGTGTAAATAATTAAGAATTTACTGTGACTTAAAGGCAAAAATACAGCTGTATTAAAATAAAGATTCAAGTTTTTCCACAGATTGACGGGACTAAAAATAAGACAACAGAGTCAAGAATTCAAGATTGCTTTTAATGTCTAAATGAAGTTTAAGTTTCATAGTTCAACTTAATATACAAGACTCTTTTATAGTCCATGCAAAAAAACACAGAAAAAGCTTTTACCTCCTATCAGCAATCCTGAATCCCTACAACAGTAGCTAACATTTACTAAGTATTTATTATGAGCTAAACACTGTATTAAACGCTTTACATGAGTTATCTCATATAATCTCCAAAGCGATTTATCTCACAGATGAGAAAACTGAAGCTAAAAGAGTTAACTTGCCTAAAGTAGAGCTGGATTTGAACTCAAGTAGTCGGAGTTCATTTAGCTGACGTCATAAACTCAACTCTCAATCAGGGTCTTCCTATCAGCACATTTATGTATGCCAGAAAACACCAAAAAAGATAAAACAAAGTCCTTACTGCAAAAAATTTACAACTTCATGAAGAGATTAAATCCAATATCACAAAATAACTTCTAAAAAAAAATTCTCAACAATATAATACCAAAATGTATGGTTTCTACAATTAGGCTGAATATAAGAGAAAGAGATCATTAAGAAATGAATAGCTTTTGAGGTAACATGTTAACATTTTTAGAAATGATGACCAGACATATATATGAACATTTACAGTTCATTTTCTTCCCAATATTTTCAATACAGTATTTAGTATTGTATTCCTTGCAAAGGCAAAGAAGACTTGGCTATCATAGAAAATATCATCCCTCCATACTAGCAATAATAAATAATTTTCAAAAGTAAGAATGAATCACTCTTTAAAACAGTTAACCATTCAAAAATTATGTTCATTGATAAAATTTAAAGAAAACCCATTATATCATGAATGTTACGGAAATTACACACCTGCTTTCATCAGAGACAATTTAAGAGATAATACAGCTTTTAACAGCTTTCTATAGATGCAGAAAGATTTTTCTTCACCTTTGACCGAATCCTTAACTAAGGAAGGTACAGGATTTAACTTATGAAATAAAATCCACTTCTAGGGGCCAGCCCAGTGGTGTAGTGGTTAAGTTCGCGCGCCCCATTTCGCCGGCCCGGGATCCACAGGTTGGGATTCCCGGCAAGCACCGACTCACTGCTTGTCAAGCCATGCTGTGGCAGCATCCCATATAAAATAGAGGAAGATGGGCACAGATGCTAGCCCAGGGCCAATCTTCCTCAGCAAAAAGAGGAGGATTGGCAACAGATGTTAGCTCAGGGCTAATCTTCCTCAAAAAAAATTTTTTTTACTTCTACTTGAATAGTGAAGTGGAATGTATTAACTACAGGGGAAGATAAACTGATTCTTTCTAACAGGCATTTAGAACTAATTCAAAATCATTAACTCTATAGTGTTCAATTGTTTCTTCTAGTAGTAAGGTTAATGGTTCCCACTGTTAACAAAAACTCATACATAGGTGGGAGAGGATTAAGTAATATGCTAAACAGCCTGTAACCATATGATAAAATATTAGCCTTAATTGCCCCATGTGTTAGTCTAATCCACCAAACTAAACCAACCACAAAAACAAACTAAGGTAGCAAATGCTTAAAATACATGTAAAATTTTAAAGTCAACTCTGGTTTTCCTAACTGCTATACTGCTTATATCACAGTATTTGGAATATTAGCCCCTCCTAGAAACAGAAGTCTATAATAGACCTCATATTGTTACGATTATTAATAATTAACACCACCAAGTATTGAGTGTCCACTATGGGCAAGGCACTATACAAAATGCTTTTCATTTAAGTCTCACTATCACCCTAGTAAGGAGGAGAGTAAAAGCTCCATTTTATGGATGACAAAACTGAGGCTAAGAGAGGTTTAATAAACTGCCCAATTAGTAAATGACAGAGCCAGGATTCAAAAATACGGTCATACAATTACAAAACTTGGATTTTGTCCATTCTATCATGCTTCCTCAGAACACAAATGATACCTTTTTCAATTTCATAATAGGATAGTTACAAATATACTTCTGTCATTATCAGGCTAGTCTACGGTTCTGTGAGATTCTAGATTGAAAAAAAGGTTTATCTTGATTAAAGAATATTGGGAGCTAAAATTCCTTATAATAAAGTTGGTTACATTAAAAACAATTAAGTAGGGGCTGGCCTGGTGGCATAGCGGTTAAGTGTGCGCGCTCCACTGCAGCGGCCCGTGGTTCGGATCCCAGGGGCGCACCTACGCACTGCTTGTCAGGCCATGCTGTGGTGGCATCCCATATCAAGTGGAGGAAGATGAGCAAGGATGTTAGCCCATGGCCAGTCTTCCTCAGCAAAAAGAGGAGGATTGGCGACAGATGTTAGCTCAGGGCTAATCTTCCTCACTAACTAACTAAATAAATAAATAACTAAATATAAATAAAAACAATTAAGTAAATAAACCTGCATAAATTATGCAAAGCAGCACCACGTAACACAAGTGAAAGGTATTGTTACCAATTTCACCTCACTCCGGTGGGACTCCAACCCACACTCAGAGGAGCTCCAAGGAGGGACCCATGGGTGGGCCTTGTACCCACAATCGATCCCTTCCTCAGAGGGTTCTTTCCTGGTCGGTGTCTCAGATTTGAAAGGTAATCAAAGCTGAGCGTTCCACAGCACAAGCTTTATCCAATGGCCAAAGAATGGAGAAGTGGGAATTAAGTTCACAAAATGAACTTAGCTCCTGGGGTGATTAACCAGCTATTATAAGGGGTCCAGGTAATGAAGCGGAGGAATATCCGTAGTTATTCGGGGAAATGGGTAGGCTTTTTTGGGGAGCAAGGGTGCCACTTCTTTTCTTTCCTTATTTGATTATATCCTGCCATTGCCAAGGTAGCTGTAAACTGCTAAGGTATACTTGTGCATAAATGACCAGGACAAAAGCATCACTAATTTTTAC